GAACTATAATAAAATATTTCCTTTGCTCCAAAAAAATGGAAATCACTAAATACGAAGAAAATTCTTTAGTGGAAAATATAATAATTTTAAAATTTTAAATAAAATAATAATTTACAACATAAAAAAAACATGCGAAACAAAAAAAAGAAAAATATACAAAAAAAGGAAATAATAATAAAACGAAACAATAAAAAAAATAATTTTGTATATAAAAATTAATAAATAAATAATTAAATAAATAATAGAAAATTATACAAAAAAACACAAAATACAAAAAAAAACAAATAGAAAAAAGTAAAATAATAAGGAAATGAAAAATGCAATCTAATATAATGGACAATACGAAAAAGATAAAAAGAATACAAAATAAACGAAGCAAACAAAAATACAAATAATAAAAAAAATGAAAAAAAGTCCACAAATTCAAAAAGTAAAAAGAATACAAAAGAAATATAAAACCTTGTATAAAACAATATTAAAAAAAATGCATTCAAATGCAGAAGAAAATACAAAAAAAAATTAAAATAAAAAAAACATAACAATAAAGAAATAGAAAAAGATTCAAAAAATACTAAATAGTACAAAAAATGGAAAACAATATAAAATACAGAAAAATATAAAAGAATAAAACAAACATACAAACAATAAGAATATAGAAAATTATACAACAATTTTATTGTTTTTAACTTTTTCCCATTTGTCTCTAATAGAAAAAAGTTGAAAACAATAAAAAAAAGTCAAAAAAATGAAAATTTTATTGTTTTGAGCTATTTTTTATTTGTCTCTAATAGAAAAAAGTTGAAAACAATAAAAAGGCAAAAACTGAAATCAATATAGAAGACAATGCAAAAAATATACAAATAAAAAAAAATTCAAAACAAAAAAATAGAAAAGGATACAAAATGAAAAAAATAAAAACAAATACAAAAAATAGAAACAAATAAAAAAATAGAAATCAATAAAAAATACAGAAAAATTAAAACGAATAGAAAAACATTCAAAACAATAAAAAAAACCAAAAGAATGCTATTCGAATACAGAAAAAAATACGAAAGTAATAAAAATAATACAAAAAGAATAAAAAATAGAAAAGGATACAAAAGAATAAAAAATAGAAAAGGATACAAAAGAATAAAAAATAGAAAAGGATACAAAAGAAGAAAAAATAGAAAAGGATGCAAAAGAATAAAAAATAGAAAAAGATACAAAAAAGAAAAAAAAAGAAAAGGATACAAAAGAATAAAAAATAGAAAAAGATACAAAAAAGAAAAAATTTAGAAATAGAGACAATTAGAAAATATAAACAAATAAAAAATAGAACCAAATAAAAAAATAAAAACAAACAAAAAATTATAAAAAAAGAAGAAAAAATGTAATGCATCCAAATGTAGAAAACAATACGAAGAGAAAAGAAAACAGAAGAAAAATAGAAAAAAAATACAATACAATGAAATTTTCTTCTTCAATTAATATATAAACATAAAAATTCCATTAAAATAAAAAGAAACAAATTGTGAAATTCGGTTTCTTCCATTGTGCAAAGATATGAAGAGCGACGAGTGGGGGGAGATGTGTCAAGTTCACTTGGAAATAACGACAGGAGATTGAATGGACCGGGGCAAGCAATCGAAACGATTTTCTTGTTATACGCAGACTTTCTAGACTTTCAAAGTATCTTTTAACCGGTTACTTTTGCTCGATTTTCAGTATAAAGCTATATAGATATGAGTGAAAGTATAAAAAGAGGGATGTTAAATCGGATGACCGTGGCATTCAACAATGATCTTTTGAGACGATGAAAACAACTATTATTTCTCTCACGAGTACTCAGTTCTCAAATTAAAAAAAAAAAAAAAACTCCCATCAAGTGTCCAAAAACCGGTTTTTGATATTCGAATAACAAAAAAAAATTCCTAGCGAAATTGCAATCAAGATTATTTTCTGTCAATCATTAACAGGATCGCACTCCTTATTGCACATATTTAAACTACATTTTTACAGTTTAAACCAGATAAGTTTGTAGACTTAATAAAAAAATTGATTTTAATCTTTAAATCATTTAATTTTTATACCAATGCAATTTTTTTCGAATTATTTTTCCCTTTAGAATTTTATTTATAAAATGAAATGAAACGTCAACTTTCATAACGAGTTGAGATGTTATTTTTATGTGTGAAAAAAGTAAAACAAACTATAAATAGAGGAAAGTTTTATTGGAAAGAAAAGGAATTTTTACCGAAGATTATTAATTTCCTTATTAATTAGCAATTATAATTAATTGCCATATCTATAGTGACAAAAAGTCATTTCTTTTTTTTCTTTTATTAAAGCACAAAAGAAGTTATAATTAACACAAAGTATTCACTGACATAATAGGAAATTATTCAATTTTAACAAAAGAATAATGTAATAATAACAATAATTTTAATAATAATAATAATAATTATAATAATAATAACAATAATAATAATCTGTATCTAAATTAACAGATTTTTCACTGCCGACTCCAAAAAAGTAATATTAATAGTAATAATAATAATACACGTAAAAAATTTTTTTACCTGGACCATGAATATATTTCACTATATTAGCAAAATTTTTAGTTATTATAGTTAAAAATTTCGCTATTCTAGAGAAATTTATGGCTATTCTAGTAGAAGTTTTTTTCCGTGTAAAATTAATAATAATAATATTTAAAAACAAAATAATAATAATTATTACTTTTTATATAAATAATATTTTTATTTAATATTTTATTTATATTTTATATTTATTTTTGTTTAATAGTACTAATTGTTAGGTAATAATTTCAAAATTATAAAATTGTATATTTATAAACAACGAGCGTATAAATAATGTATGAAAAAATAACTAAATAAACAAGAAGTAGAAAAAGTTTTATTATTTCAGTCAAATATTTAAAAAACACTTAATATAATTATTTCTACAAGTAATATAATTCTAATTATCACATATTGCACCAAACATAAATAGACATAATTATAACTATCAACATAATTATAATTGCAAACAAAGCAGACAATTATGACATTTGTTAAATATAATTAGGGGTGAGTGGATATTTTTTCTTCGGTTAAAGATTTTTTAAATTTAACATTTAACACAATTAAAAAAAGAACAAATTTTTTCCCTTAAATTTCAAGAGAAAACTATTTTTTCAGTCAGTGTTTCCTGAATTTATTTTTTTTTTTTACTTTTTTTTTATTTCAATTTTTTGTATTTAAACCATTTTCTTATTTTTATTTCAATTTTTATGTATTTAAAGAATTTTTTTATTTTTATTTCAATTTTTATGTATTTAAAGAATTTTTTTATTTTTATTTCAATTTTTATGTATTTAAAAGATTTTTTAATTTTATTTCATTTTTTATCAGATAAAAATTTTTTTTTTCTTATTTACAAGAATAGTTTGCATATATTTACAAAACAAAAATTAAAAATAAACAATTCAATTTTAAAAAATTTTAATTTAACTTATAAATTTCGAGGTTGAAGTCGAAATAGAAGTAAAAAAAGAAATAATTTAGTTTTGTATCAACTTAAAATAAAAGTTCAAGACTCAATAAATTTCATAAAAACCCGAAACTAAAATAATCAACTTAATTAAGTTTCATATAAATTAGAAATGTAATTATTTATGAAATTATATTAAATTGAATTTAATTCCATGACAAAGAAGTTAAAATTACAAAAGATATTTAGTTTCGTGACAAACCGAAAATAACAATTTTTCACATTAATTTTTGGAGCTGATACAAAACTAAATTTTCTCGTTTCTGTACAACCAGAAAATATTTTTTGTTAATGCAAAGAAATTTTTTTCTCTTTTTTCATTCAAAATAAATTTTTCTTACAAACCAAAAGAGGTATTTGTTTGAAGAAGAAATTTTTTTGAATCAAAGAAATTTTTTTTGATTCAAAAAAATTCTTTTTAAATAAAGGGAATTTTTTTTTCATCAAGAAAATTCTTCTGAAATCAAAGAAATTATTTTCGAATCAAAGAAATGTTTTTAAATTTTAAAAAACTCTTCTGGAGGCAAAGAAATTCTTTTCGAATTAAAGAAATGTTTTTGAATCAAAAAAATTCTTCTGGAAGCAAAGAAATTTTGTTTAAATCAAGAAAATTCTTCTAAAATCAGAAAAAATTCTTTTTGAATCAAAAAAATTTTTTTGATTCAAAAAAAATTCTTCTTGAATCAAAGAAATTCTTCTCAAATCAAAGAAATTTCTTTTTAAATTTTTAAAATTTCTTTTCGAATCAAAGAAATTTTTTTGCATCAAGAAAATTCTTCTGGAACCAAAAATATTCTTTTTGAATAAAAAAAATTTTTTTGAATCAAAAAACTTCTTCTTGAATCAAAGAAATTCTTCTCAAATCAAAGAAATTTCTTTTTAAATTTTTAAAAATTCTTTTCAAATCAAAGAAATTTTTTTGCATCAAGAAAATTCTTCTGGAACCAAAAATATTCTTTTCTAATCAAAGAATTTTTTTTTACATCAAAAAAATTCTTCTAGAAGCAAAGAAATTATTTTCAAATGAAAGAATTTTTTTTTAATCAAAAAAATTCTCCTGGAATCAAAGAAATTCTTTTCAAATCACAGAAATTTGTTGTTGAATCAAAGAAATTTTTTTTAATCAGAAAAATTCTTTTGGAAGCAAAGAAATTCTTTTCGAATGAAAGAAATTTTTTTTAATCAAAAAAATTCTTCTGGAATTAAAGAAATTCTTTTTAAATCAAAGAAATTTCTTGTTGAATCAAAGAAATTTCTTATTAAATGAAAGAAATTCTTATTGAATCAAAAAAATTCTTTTTGAATCGAAGAAAATTCATTTTCCATATATAAAAAACAACTCGAAGCAAATGATTTCTATAAATCACAAAAAAAAAAAATTTTCCTGAACACGAATTCACGATTACATGAATCTAATTTAGGTTCATTAAGTCCTTTAACTTCACATTTTTTACGAAACTAATTAAAAATTGTTCCCAAATTCTGTTTCAGTTTGTTATCAAAACAAAGAAATTAATGTCGAATTATCGAATTATTTTTAGTTACGCAATTGGAAACAAATAATAATTATTTTTTTTAATGACGAATTAATATTCGTCATATTAAAAAAAATAATTATTTAACACAAATGAGAATAAAAAACTTGAAAATTCGTATTGAATAAAAATCGTATTCACTCAAAAATTCATATTTGAATAGAAATCATATTCACTCAAATTCGTACTGAATAAAAATCGTATTCACTTAAATTCTAAATTCTAAAAATTACGAATACGAAGTTTGAATATTAGGCAAACTTGCAGTGCCAGGACTGGGGAAAGAATGCATTGGACTGTTTTGAATGGGCATTTTTCGAAAATCATATTCGGGCTCGACAATATCCTCCCTAACAGAATAGCCCTGACTGCCCGCCAATGACGATGTCCAAGTTGAAGCGGCAGGAAAACTCGAACCCGGAAACGACGATATTGACAATTGTTGAATATTTTGCCCAGCATGTTGTATATTGCCACCGTGAATTCCGGGAATATTCACAACACCCGGCCATGATTTTGTCAATTCCTCAACTTTTTTATTGTATTCATCGAGAGAGACACTGTCACGAATCACAACTCCATAAGTGCTGCCTGCAATTTTTGGCGATGGCACGAAAATCGTTGGACTCGACGTTGTCTCCGTTTGCGTCACGTGCGACGATGTTGAATAATCTACAAACAATTTTTTTCATTCATTATTTATTTTTTTATTTTTATTTTTCTTTTTTTCTACCTTTCTCTCTTTCTATCTTTATAAATTTCTTCATTTTCTTTCTTTCTTTCCTCCTTTCTCTCTTTTTATCTTTATATATTTCTTTTTTCTTTCTTTATTTATTTGTTTATTTTAAACAAAATACAAAATAAAATAATAATAAAAAACAAAATACAAAAAAAATTAAATACAAAATTATCGCTTAAAGTGAAAAATAGAACATAAATAATTCTCTCAAGGATTTTTAAAGTTCAAATGAACGACAATTTTTCTGCTAAATTTTTACAAATTGCTATGAAAACAAATAAAAAATATGTAAAATTAGTCATTTAATTAGAAATTAATTTCTTTAATGCATAAAAAATAAATTTTTTCAGGGTTGCCACAAAAATTTAACCTTGTTTTCCCTGATTTCCAAACAGAATTTTTACATTTTTCCTGACCCTAAAGAATTTCTGATTTACTCTAAAAATGATTAGATAAAAAAATATAAAAAAAAAAATAAAATATATTAAATAAATGTATTTTTAATAATAAAAAATAAAGAAAAAACTGCAAAAATGTTCTATTACATTTATTTACACAATTCCCTCAAAACTAAAATTATTCGAAAACATCAACAACTTCTTTTTTAAATAAATATTTAATCCTTATTAGATTTGAATTTAAAAACTTTTCAAAATTCAATTATTTCTAAAAATTCACGCTATATAATGCTTTTAATATTCAATTATTATCTAAAATTTTAAACGAAATTCATTTTGAAATAAATTTTTATTAGAAAATTCTACGAGAATTCAATTATTTAAATAGGTACAAAATTAAATAATTTATTGAATAATTGGATGTTTCTTAAAATTTAATTTTTACGAAGAATTTTATTAACAACTTTTGTAAATTGGTAATTCATTTCTTTTAAGGAATTTAATTAAAATTTTACTAAAATTTTTTATATTAAAGAATTTTATAATAATTTTTGAAAATAATTGAAAACTTTTTGAAGAATTTAATTAAAATTTTAAAAAATACGAATTTTATAACAATTTTTGAAAATAATTGAAAACCTTTTGAAGAATTTCATTAAAATTTTAAAAAATAAGAATTTTATAACAATTTTTGAAAATTATTGAAAACTTTTTGAAGAATTTCATTAAAATTTAAAAAAAAATAAATTAATAATAAATAAATTATAAATAATACTTCTCAGGAATTCAAATTCCTGAGAAGAATTTAAATAATAATTTATGAAAATAATTGAATTTATTCGAAGAATTTTATTAAATTTTATTCAAATAATTGAAACTATGCCAAGAATTTTATTAAAATTTTTGCCAATAATTTAATTCTTGAGACAAATTTCGCTACCTATTTATAAAAATGACTTAATTCTTGACAAGAATTTAAAAAAAAAATTTTGAATAATTTAATTCCTGCGTAAAGTATTTTATTACTTTTCAAAAGAATTGAATTCTTGTGATAAATTTTGGATATTTATCAAAATAATTTAATTTTTGAAAAGAATTTTATTAAAATTCCTTAAAATAATAAATTGATTTTATGGGGAGAATTTTGTTGTTTATCAAGATAATTAAATTATTTCGTCAAGATTTAATAACATTTTTAAGAATAATTGCATTTTTTGAGGAATTTATTTAAAATTGCATTAAAAATATTTGAAATCCTGCGATGAAAGTAATTGAATTCGTAAATGAAATTTTATTATTTATGAAAATAATTAAATGTTTTCGTAGAATTTATTGTATCAAAAATTGTTTTCAATAATTAATTTTTTTTTATAATTTTTATGAAAATAGTAAATATTCAAAATCATTAAATTGCGAAAAACTTTTGAAAATAATTGAAATTTTGCAAAGAATTTTATTAAAATTTTTGAAAATAATTGAATTTTTGGCGAAAAATTTTGCTATTTATAAAGATAATTGAATTCTTGACGAGATATTCATTAAAATTTTTTAAAATAATTGAATTTCTTCGAAGAGAAAAAAAATAAAAATCCCTGACTTTTCCCTGATTTTCCTGACCAATTCTACTTTCCCCAATTTTTTCAGAATTCCCTGATTTCCCTGACTTGTAGCAACCCTGTTTTTGTATAAAAAAATACCAAAGTAAGAGAATTAAAAAAATATTGTCGTTAATTAAAACGTCCAAAATTTAGGAACATTAGAAATAAAATATAAATAAAATAAAAAAGTAGAAATAAAATAAAAAAGTAGAAATAAAATTAAACAATAGAAATAAAATATAAATAAATAAAGTAAAGAAAGAATAAATAAATAAATAAATAAATAAAATAGGAAGAAAATAAAACAGAAATAAATAAAATAAAGAAAGAATAAATAAATAAAATAGAAATAAAACAGAAATAGATAAAACTAAAAGAAAGAAAGAATAAATAAAATTAAAATAAAATAAAATAGAAACAAAAAAGAATAAAATAGAAATAAAATTTAAAAAATAAAAATTGTTTTTTCCAAAATTTACAACCCACCATTGGCAATAATTGATTTTTCCTCACCAGCTGAGGCGCTATTAACATTATCTAACGAAAGTTTGTCGCCAAATGAAGTTTTTGCTAGTGATCTTGAATTAAAAAGTTTATTTTCATCCTCTACAGTCTTGCCAGTCAACTCGGCATCATAAGATCCACTTTGACCTGGAAGAAAGGAATCTGTGTCACTTTCAGTAGTTAAACTAACATGACTTGGATCTAGCGGTGAAAAAGATGAATCATCCGATGAATCCTGTAAATGATGATTTTCCGCAAATCTAAAATCAAAATGAGAAAATCAGATTTTTTTGAACAAAAATTACAAATTCATTTTTTTTTCAATTTCCTTATCAGTATAAAATAAATAAATAAATTTTTAAATGTTATTTACAAAAAAAAAAAATGAAAAAAATATTGAAACTAATTTACTAACTAAAAAAAAAAAATAAATAAACGATCAATACTAAAAATAAAAAAAAAATTTACAATAAAAATAAAATTATAATAAAAACTATTTTTTAAAATAAAACAAAATTTCGAAAAAACATTTTTAAAAACAAGATAAAATTTCTTCAATGGGCGTTTATTTGATATCTTTGATAACCGCATAATAATCGTGTGATTTGATTGGTATTTTACATCTTGCATTGATTTTATCACCCACTGAATCTTAAACTTTCTATAAAATAGAAGTAAAGTAAGTTTTAAAGTAACTTTCAGCAATTTTCTACAAATTTCTCCAATTTTATAATTTTTTTTTACTATTATTATTAATGTCCCTCCATCTCTATACTTCCATTAATAACAATTATATTAAAAAAAATTATGATTTACTCTATTGACAGCAATTAGAAAAATTAAAATAAAGTAAAATCCAATATTAAAAATTATTTGACGACTTTATAACTATAGAGATGAATTAAACTTTAATTCTGATTCTAAAATAAAATTAACAATTAATCAACGTCATTAAACAATACAAAATAAATGATTAATATACCGTAACTAATCACAGAATTTTTTTTCATTTAATACTCAACATTTTATAATTTAATTAACAAAAATTTCCAATACTTTGGACTTTCAAATTAAAATAATTGCCTTCAAGATAAATTAAAATTTTTATTATTTAAAATAATAGAAAAATTGCAATGTTTTTACTCATCAGTTCGATTAAATTTAATTTACTGAAATTTTCATCTTCATCTAAAGTCAATAACGAAGGGAAATTATCCACCTAATTAGTACAATAGAAATAAATTAAAATAGTAGGTAAAAAGTAATAAAAAAAAAATTTATCAATAAAAAAAATTTGCAATTCAATTTAAATTATATACTAAAAGTTTTATCCTCGTCTAAAATTTTATAACCTATGAAAATTACCCATCTAATTAGAATAATATAACTAAATTAAAATAATAGGTAAAAAAAATAATAATTAACAGCAAATCAGTCCGTTTAAATTTTATCAACTGGAATTTTCATCTTCGCCTAAATTTTATAATAAAAAATATCCACTTAATTAGAATAATAAAAATAAATAAAAAAACCTAAATAATAATAAAAATACTAAAAAAAAATAATAAAAAATAGAAATAAAGTAAAATATGAAAATAATAGAAAGTAAAATACAAAAATATTATTTTTGTATTTTACTTTCTATTATTTTGTATATTTTACTTTATTTCAAGTAATTTTATGTTGAAGGCATAATTATTTTAATTTGAAAGTCCAAAAAGTATTGGAAATTTTTGTTAATTAAATAATAAAAATAAATAAAAATAAATAAAAATACGACAATAATAAAAAATAGAAAAAAAGTAAAATATAAAAATAATAGAAAGTGTAGAAAAATAATAGTGTACAAAAATAATAGAAAAAAATAGTAGAAATAAATTAAAATACAAAAATAATAGTGTACAAAAATAATAGAAACAAATTAAAATAAAATGGGTAAAAAATAAAAAAAGAAGAAAAAAGAGTATCAAAAATAAATATTTTATTTCTAGAAAAAAAATATCACCCTTTTAATAAATATATTTCTAGGCGTGAGAAATTGGCTAAATCGCTTGCAGTTAAATATTAAAAGCAAAAAAAAAAAAAAAAAAGTAGATAAGTGAGATAAAAAAATATTTACCCTTCCTTCAGAGGTGAAAAATTGCCTTTAATTTTATCATATGGTATATAACCGTGACCATAGGAAATCCCGTGAGTTATGCCTTTACCATGGGGTACGACAATATTGTTAATTCCCTCGTGACCTTGATCAAAATCATCGCCCCCATGGGGAAGATAATTTCCGCTATGGCGAAATGCAGGTTTCCCATAAATAATACTATTCGGTCGATTATAAAGATGTGGATAAATGTCGTCAGCTGAATAATGGGATTTTCTTAATGGCGGTGGTCTCATATGAGAGTGCCACGATGCACCCGGACTCCTTCTTACGTGTCGTGGTATCATAAAAATTACCTTCCTCCTAAAAGGCAAATTTTTTTTTTTTTAATAATTAATTCAATTTTATTTATTTTATTTTTATTCAATTTTATTCAATTTTTTAATTATTTGACGACTGAGTTCGAATTTTAAAAAACAAAATATGTTTTAAAATTTTTATTTTTACTTACTCTGCAGCAATTGTTAGAAAACTACATGCTATTAATAGGAAAATAAAAGACACCTAGAAAAAAATGAAATTAAAATTAAAATACTTTTCCAATGAGAAATAAAAAAAAAGCTAAAAAGTTTATAAATCTACGCACAAAAAAAATTTCTTTCCATTCTTTTATATTTATAAAAAAATTATTAATTTAATAATTAAAATTGATTATTCATTTTTTATTTTATTTATTAATTAATTATTTTTATTAATTTAATTTTTTATTTTTTTATTATACTTTTATGTTATATATATTTATTATTCTATTTATCAAAATTATTATTAATTATATTTATTATTGTATTATACAATTATAATTATATAATTCAATAATAAATACGTAATAAAAAATAATATTAATAATTTATGCTTGCTATATTATTATAAATATTAGATTTGGAATATTAATATACAATAATTATATAAATTAATTATAATATATTACAAGTAATAATTATATTATATAGTTATATTATTTCATTTATTTATCAAGAAAAACTATTTTTATTTATTTATTTTAATGATAAAAAAAATTTTGAAAATTCCAAACGAAATATTTAATAATTTAATTGAAAAACTGTTTTTTGACGTAGATTTTTTTCTAAACGGATACAGTCAAACCTGATTAGATGGGACAATTAATTTATAACTACGAATTAATTTTCAAATCAATTAATCAAAGAAAATTATTTAAATTAATAATAGTAATTATTTTTATTTATCAAGTCCCATTTAGTAAGATTTCAGTGTATTAAGCAAATTATTTACTGATTCTCCTTAACGTAATTTAAACGTTCGTTTCCTATATGCATTAATTTTCTTAACTTGTGTGACTTTTATTCTTATAGAATAAAATTTACGCAAGTAAAAAAAAAAATACAACTACATGAAATTTCAAAAATTCAAACATAATAATTGATAAAATATTATCATAATTTTTATGTTATTTTTTGTTGTTTCTTAAATAAATAAATACGAATTTAATAATGTTAATAATAATTATATTATTATCACAAAAATTTATAATTACAATTTTTAAAGTAATAAACAAAGAGAGTAAATTTTCCATAAATAATTTGCAATTTTAACTTATATTAATAATAAAAAGAGAATAAATTCAGTAACAAAAAATTGCAATAAAATAATAAAAAACATTGTTTTTTTATAAAAAAGTAATAATAAAAAACAATAAATAAAAAAAAGTAAATAAAAAGGCCTCTATAAATAAAAATATACCTACCGATAAAAAAATACTAATAATAGAAAATTATAAATGAAAAAATAACAAAAAAAATTATACAATTAAAATGAAAAAATTGTAAGAAAATTATGAAGAAAAAATTAAAAATAAATAAAGGTAAATGAATAAATTATAAATTAAAAAAAATAAAGGTAAATGAATAAATTATAAATTAAAAAGAAATAAAGGTATAAATGAATAAATTAAAAATTAAAAAGAAATAAAGGTAAAAGAATAAATTATAAACTAAAAAATAAATAAACTATAAATTAAAAAATAAGTGAAAAAAATAAATTAAAAAATAAATCAAAAACTAATTAAAAAATAAAAACCCACATCAAAAAAAATAGTAAACAAATTAAAGAAAAAGCAGAAAGAAAAACTTACTGAAAGCCGCATGATGAAGAAAATAATAAAAATTTTAAATGCACCAAAAAACGAATATATATTTTTCACTAAATAAACATTAACCGAATGTAGTATCCCGTTCGGGTGATCCAGATATATTGCAGGAACCAAGACTAGGCATCTTCTCTTTTATACAAGATAAAAAGAAGACTACCGACGCTCTAGAATCTCCCACCCAATGGGAGTTAATTTCTAACCGCAAGAATATAAAGACGAATATTGAACATTGAGTGAGAGAGAATGGGTGGGTATGACCTAGTGACGCGTTGCTTTTGCACCATCTCAATATAATAATGTGTTTATGTCTATTTCTATAGGTACATATACAATTTTTTCCTTTTTTTTTTCTTTTTTACAAAAAAAAGCCCATTGCATATAATATATTGTTAATCGTCAAACTTTCTTTCAACGTTACACCAATGAGAATAGTTTAAAGTCACACTCTAGTAGTTTGACTCTACTACCCTTCACTCACGAACGCAATACGTACGTGTTCATATTAAAAATTGAAATTAAACATTTCTCATCCAAGGAAAAATAAATTAATCAAATTCGACAATTTCTTGTTTTTTTTAATAATCGATTTTCTTCAATTTCAACGAATTTTTCATTTTTCGATTTTTTTCTTATTTTTACAATCGTTTTTTATTTACATTATTTCATTTTCTTAATAAACTTGAATTTATTTTTTCAAAAATTAAAAATTTTTTTAATTTTGTTTAATATTGTTACTATTATTAATTATTATTTAGTATTACTATTATTATTAATATTACTATTGTTATTTAGTATTACTATTTTTATTAATATTACTATTATTATTAATATTACTATTGTTATTTAGTATTATTATTATTATTAATATTACTATTATTATTTAGTATTACTATTATTAATAATAATACTATTATTATTATTATTATATAAAAATCTTTTTCAAATAGTAGAAGAAAAAATACTTCACCTGGAGCAACGATAACTTTCTTTAGAATAGCGAAAGTCTTAACAGAAACAATTAAAAATTTCGCTAATGTAGTTAAAATTTATTATAACTGATCCAGATAAAATCCTCTGTTAAATTTATTTATTTACTTTTATTTTTTTATTTAAATCTTAAAAATAAATAAATACATATTATTATTATATTATTATTATATTATATTATTATTATTATTATTACATATTATTATACATATTGTCTATTATCAAATAAATATTTACTTAAATCAAATAATTTTTACTCAAGTCAATTATAAATTCTATTTGCTCTAAATACTAAAAGATTGTTTAAAATACAATTTATTTGATTTAAATAAAAATTCTTTGATTCAAGTAAATATTTATTTGACACTAAACAAGCAATCTATAATTTCAATTAAGTAAATATTTTTCTCAAAAAAAATTCGCCTAAGTCGCCAATTCAAAATATTGGTTTTAATTGAATTGGAAATTTTTCAAGAAAAAATAGAAGAATATTTTTGCATTTAAATTTTAATACTGAAATGAAGTCCCATTTAAAAACGTAAAAACTTAAAAAAGACTGAATACTTTCCCATAGGAAAAAAGAATTTTTTTTTGCCAAGTGATACAAATTTTTAAGTGGAAAAAAATTGCTTACGTCAGACAAGGTGAAACTTTTATTTAATCATCTAAAACTTTTCAAGAAAAAGTTTAAAAAGAACCAAAAAATCAGTGTTCTTAATAGAATCCATTTATTTTGTTCTTGAAATTAAAATTTTTTAAATTATCTCATTTTAGTGAAAATATTTTCAAAAAATATTAATTTCAAAGAGAATAAAAGTAGACCAAGCTTTTAAGTATAAAACATTCATAATTTTTTCATTCGATTCTTCTATTAAACAATTTACTTTTATTAATAACCTTAAATTTATTTTCTCAATAAATTTAAAATTATTCCTATTATTTTTAATATTATTACCATTACTATCATTTATTTATTATTATTATTTTATATTTATATTATTACTATATTGTTGTTATTATTATTGTTGTTGTTATTATTATTATTATTATTATTATTACTATTTTCAATATATAAAACATTTTTTCGAACAGTAAAGGAAAAAAATTTATTTTTTTTAATAAATAAATAAATTTTAATTATGATCGTATAAAAATAATAATTATTACCTATAAATTATAATTAAACACAATGATACAATCATAATTGCAACTAATTTTAATTATCATATTGATATTATTTTTATATTATAATTATTAATTTTACAATTATTAATTCGAAAAATAAAATACACGGCTTATCGTCAATTTCAATATAATTCTCCACCAAAATCGGAATGTTAAGTGAAGAAATCTTATGATGTGCGCGAGTTACATATATTTATACTCTATATTTATAAATATCTTGAAAAGAAAGGGAAAAGCTAATGAAGAAATAAACAAAAGAAGTTGTTATAATTGCTAAAGTGTTGAAGAATTTGTCGATTACTCCTTTTAGTTTCTGCACTATTGATTCCTGTGTTTTTCCCATTAAAAAAAAGTAGAGCAATAACTTTTGCAAATAAAAACATTTATCACCATAAATTTCCTTCTCTACTTTTCCCTTATATATACGTGTATGCACACATACACACCCAAAAAACACAATCTTTCTCCACAAATTTTACACATTTCCAAGTAAGTAATTAAAAAAGTTATCAAGTGAATAAATGAGAATATTTCGAATTTTCTTCTTAATTTTAAACCAAATTTTCGTTCATTTAATCGAAAAAAATTGTTTCTTTTTTATTTTAGAAAAATTTCTGTTCATTTTATCATGTAAAAAGTGCCGAAATTTTTTACGGTGTGAGTAAGAACCAAATAAAATTTATTTCAACCAAAAAACATTCTTTTTAACTAAATAAAATTTATTTTAACCAAATAACATTTTTTTAACTAAATAAAATTTATTTCAATCAAATACAATTTGTTTGATCTAAATGCAATTTAGTTTAACTAAATAAAATTTTTTTTAACCACATAAAATTTATAAATAAAATTTATTTGAACCAAATAACATTTTTTTAATTAAATAAAATTTATTTCAACCAAATAACATTTTATTAACTAAATGAAATTTATTTCAACCAAATAACATTTTTTTAACAAAATAAAACTTATTCTAATCAAATACAATTTGTTTGAACCAAATAATATTTTTTTAACCACATAAAATTTAAAAATAAAAACTTTTTTGATTCAAACAAAATTTAATTGAACCAAATGTAATTTATGAACCAAATAACATTTTTTTAACCAAATAACATTTTTTTAACCACATAAAATTTAAAAATAAAATTTTTTTGTACCAAACAAAATTTAATTGAACCAAATGCAATTTATTTCAACCAAATAAAATTTAATTGAACCAAATGCAATTTATTTGAACCAAATAATATTCCTTTTAGCTAAATAAAATTTATTTCAATAAAATACAATTTGTTTGAACATAATGCAATTTAGTTGAACCAAATAACATTTTTTAACCACATAAAATTTTTTTTGAACCAAATAAAATTTAATTGAACCAAATGCAATTTATAAATGCAATTTATTTGAACCAAATTTAATTTAGTTGAACCAAATAACATTTTTTTGAACCAAACAAAATTTAATTGAACCAAATGGAATTTATTTGAACCAAATAACATTTTTTGAACCACGTAAAATTTATCCGAAATAAATAACCTTTTCTCCAACAAAATAACATTTTTTTCAACTAAATAAAATTTATTTCAAGAAAGTAAAATTTTGTTGAACTAAATAAAATTTATTTCCATCAAATACAATTTTTTTTAACCAAATGCAATTTATTTGAAACGAATAATATTATTTTTGAACCAAATAGGATGCATTTCAATCGAATACAATTTGTTTGAACTAAATAACAGTTTTTTAACCAAATAAAATTTATTAGAACCAAATAACATTTTTTTAACTAAATAAAATTTAACAAAATAATATTTATTTGAACCAAATAGATTTTTCTTGAAACAACTAAAATGTACTTGAAACAAATAAAATTTACTTGAAACAACTAAATTTTACTTGAAACAAATAATATTGACTTGAAACAAATAAGTTCACTAGACTCCGAGTGAAATACATAGTTTTTCTAAACGAACAATTTGGATTAAAAAAAAAAAAAAAATTACTATTTGAATATTTCTCGAAAATGTTAATCAACATTCGAATTGGAAGATCATTTCTTCAAATCAAAGGCAACATTATAAGAGACTGTTAATTTCACTGAAAATTGCGAGCGCGTGTAAAGTGCACGCGTTACGCTCCACATAAATACAAAGTTTCTCAATAACACCTTCTTTAAATGCACGTATTAAAAATACTAAACATTCGCAATATAAAACATAATTACGTTAATCAATTTCACCTTAAGCAAACATATAATATGTACTATAGACACTTTTCTATTAATAAATAACAACAAAATTATTAATAAAGAAAATATCCATATACACATTTTTAAAATTCTAAACTTAATAGCAACCCATCCATATATCAATTTTACATAAGAAATATATACCATATAAATACCTATACACCTATTCTCCAATCATAAATTTTTCAATACATTATTACAATATTTACTCACATAAATAATATTTGTACAATGCGAAAACCAATTCACTTTCTAAATATACATCACACACAGAAAGTTATTATATCAAAAGTCAACAAAAAAAAAAAATCCCTCTATTTCATTTAGTGAATTTTCTATATCTAGATATAAATAATATGCAGGAAATTGAAAATAATTTTAATGCTCGAATATAGAAAATGCACTAAAATAACATTGAACAGGTGTTCGGGACAATAAAACATTGTAGTAAATTTCCGAAGATTATAGTTTACTGAATCTGTAAGCGAGAGTATCAACATGGGTACATAATTTTATATTGTATTCGTGAAAATGAAGCAATAAATATAAAACAAGAATGTATTCCTCATTTATACTTCCGTTTTTTCGGAATATAATTAATGATAATTGAATTCGATAATAAAAAGAGAGCAGCATTATAGCAATGAGAGAGAATTGTTCTTGTGCGCACACATACTAATCGATTCTGATATAATATTTAACGGTGTTTTTGATCCTAATAAGAAAATATTTATTTTATTTATTCTAATGTTGACGGTCACTATTAATATTAATAAATAAATTATTAATAAAACTGTAACTATTAACACACACATTTTCTAAGAATATCAAGTTGAGACAAAAAACTTATCAAAACATTGTTTCGCAACTATTTTGATACGTTTTTGTTTGTCTCAATTTGATATCCTTAGAAAAACTGTACAAATATTTTTTGGCTAAGTCACTATTTCTTTTTTAATATTTATGCTATTTTTATTATATTTTTATTAGTCACTATTACTATTAATAAATATTATTATTAATAGTTTTAAGTACACATTAATACTAATAATAATCCAAATACTAAAAAAACAATACGACTACAAGACTGAATACTATAGTATTCAGTCTTGTAGTAGACTGATTAATTAATACTAATTAATACTAAATACGAATACTATTACTACGCTGAAAAAAAAATTATTTGATTCAAATAACCTATTAATTTTAATATCAATTAAATATTTACTTAAATCAAATAATATTTATTGGACTCAATTAATTATTTGCTTGAATCAAATAACATTTATTGGACTCAATTAAAAAATGGTATTTGAGCCAATAAATAATTTCAGTATTTGAAACAAATATGAACTAAACCATTTAAATGACTCCAATAAATATTATTTGATTCAATTAAATATTTAATTGATAATAGTCAATTAATCGGTTATTTGAATCAAATAAATTTTTTTTCGGTGTTATACTAAATACGAATACCAGACTTCGCACTCGATAATTAATTTTAAAAAAAGGTAGCAAAAAGTAGCTTTTAAACTAAAAGAAAGTAGTAAAAAGTACCTATCGAAAAATTAAACTTGACGACCAAAAAAACTCGTTTTAGACACTTCACAAAACTGACAAAAATTCCATTCTATATTTTATTTTCCTGACATTTTCCTAATTTCTTCAAAAATATTTACTTCTTTCTTATCATGCTAATAAATTGAATTCCTGCAACGAATTTTATTATTAATAAAAGCATTTTATTATTTATAAAAATAATTGAATTCTTGCTAAGAATTTTTTAAAAAATTTTAAATAATTGATTTCTTCCGACTAATTATATGCAAATTCTAATTTAAATAATTAAATTCCTGAGAAATTTTTATTATTCATGAAAAAATAATTCAATTCTCACCAAGACTTTTACAAAAAATTTTTTTAAATTAATTAAATTTTACAAAGAATTCTATTAAAATTTTTAACGATAATTGAATGTCTGTGTGGTATGTTATTTAATTCTTTTTGAAAATAATTGAATTCCTTGAGAAGAATTTTATTATTTATGAAAATAATTAAATTCCTGCGAACGATTTTATTAGAATTTTTTTAAATAATTGAATTTCCAAGAAAAAATTTATTATTTTTAAAAATAATTGAATTCTTGTGATGAATATTGTTATTTAATAAAAACAATTCAATTTTGCAAAGAATTTTATTAAAATACCTCAAAATAATTGAATGTTCGCAAATAATTTTGTTATTTATCTTTAATAATTAAATTCTTTCGAAGAATTATTTATGTAAATAATTGAATTTTTGGGAAGAATATTTTATTAAATACTAAAAGAATAATTGAATTATTTTAAAAAAATATAATTAAAATTGAATTTAAAATAATTTATTTCTTTCGAACAATTTTATTAAAAAATTTGATAATAATTGAATTCCTGAGAAAAATTCTAATACTTTTGTAAATAATTTCAATTCTTCCAAACAATTTAAAAAAAACATTTTTTTAAATAATTGATTTTTTCAAGGAATTGAAATTAAATTTTTAAGAATAATTACATTTTTTGAGCAATTCCTGTAAAATTGAATTAAAAATAATTGAAATCCTTCGATCAATTTTATTATTTATGAAAATAATTGAATAGTTGCTAAGAATTTTATTAAAATTTTTCAAAAATAATTGAATTCCTGAGAAGAATTTTATTATTTATGAAAATAATGGAATTATTGACAAAAATTTTATAAAAATATTTGAAAATAATTGAATTCCTGGGAAAAAATTCTAATATTTTTGTAAATAATTCAATTCTTCTAAAGAATTAAAAAAAACAATTTTTTAAATATTTTGATTGTTTCGAGGAATTGAAATTAAATTTTTAAGAATAATTACATTTTTAGAGCAATTCCTGTAAAATTGAATTAAAAATAATTGAAATCCTGTGACAAATTTTATTATTTATGAAAATAATTGAATAGTTGCTAAGAATTTTATTAAAATTTTTCAAAAATAATTGAATTCCTGAGAAGAATTTTATTATTTATGAAAATAATTGAATTATTGCCAAAAATTTTATTAAAAAGTTTAGAAAGAATTGAATTTCTGTGAAAAATTTTGTTCATTTTTAAAATAATTGAATTCTTCATAGGAATTTTATAAACATTGTTTTAAATAATTAATTTTTTTGAAATATAGTAAATATTATGAAAATTTTATTTTAAATAATTGAATTCCTGTGGAAATCTTTATTTGTGAAAATAATTGAATTTTTCGATTAATTAATTGAAAATAGTATTAAAAATAATTGAAATTGATGAAATTTTTTATTTATGAAAATAACTGAATTCTTGCTTAGAATGTTATCAATTTTTTTTTTTTAATTGAATTTCCATGGAAAATGTTATTATTTGTAAAAGTAATTGAATTATTGTGAAGAATTGTTTAAAAATTTTGTTAAATTGATTTTTTCGAAATTTTTTTGAAAATGCTATTCTAAATTAATTGAATTCCTGTTGAAATTTTTTAATTTATGAAAATAATTTAATGTTGGATGAATTCTATCAATTTTATAATTGAATTCTTTTGCTCAATTTCATGAAAATACTAGATATTGAAAATAATTGAATTTCGAATATTTTTTGAAAATAATTGAACCGTTTAAAGAATTAGATTACAATTTTTAAGAATAGTTTTTTGATTTCTAGTATAATTAGCGAATTTAAAGTAGTGGAGATTCTCAAAGAAAAGAAATAGTAGCTTTTAGTAGCTGAATTAATACGAATACTGAATAGAATACTAATAAGCAATGCGAATACTGTACCGGATACTAATGATGAATACGAATACAGTTTAAAATTTTAATCACCAATACGAATACTAATAATAACTGAAACAAATAAAATTCTAAACGTATACTAATATCAAAGAAATGTTAATACCAATCAGAATACTAATAATAAATAGGAATACTATTAAGAATTATAATAAACATATCATTAACATAAACATAACAGTACTAATGATTTATGAATTAATTACTTCGAATTCTAATAGTAAACACGAATACAGTTTCGAATTCTAAGAGCGAATGCGAATACTAAAAATGAATACGAAGTAAAAATGCAAGTTAATACGAATACTAGCAAAATTAGTATTCTATGAATAATAAATACGAAACAATACAACTTTCAACATTAGAATTAAGAAAGTAAAGAAAACCGAACAAAATAATAACGCTACGTTTAATGTTATTGATTATGACTTGTCATTCTTATTTACTGCATCAACATTCAATAAAAAGAAAAAATAACCGAATTTACAACCTGTCATAAACTACATGAGAAAAGCAACAAAAAAATAATAACGAAAGTGTAAATGTTTCCAATAAAAGCCTACAAGAAAAGAATAGAAGAATAAAAAGAAAAAAATTTGTCTCATATCTTTGATAAAAAATAAATAATTTCCCCCATCTCAAATTTGACTATTTCCATACCATCTCTCCAAAATTTAACTATTTGTTATTTGAAACAAACGGAAACAAATAAAGCAGCAAATATATAACAAGTTTAGCGTCTCAAAAAAAAAAAAAATTATAATCCTTATTATTACCTCCTGGAGAACAATAACCAGGAGGTGAAACCATATACGCGCCTGTCGACCATGATCTTGATCTTGAACGTTCACTGACCTGTGCAATCATCTATTGAATTCAGATATTAAAAAAAAAAAGGAAAAAATTATATAAAACCAGACAAGGAAGTAATAATCGAGTAAAAATTAAAGACACACCCAACTGTATATAAATACAATAACAACAACAATATATATTTTGCAGACAGATAATGAAGTTAGTGGACTACCGAGAAAAATCATAAGATAACCGTCTTTCTGATGGATTTTTATTCTCCTTTTTTTTCGTCTTTTTGCAATATTATATTCCTTTCACAATGTTGTATTGTATGTCCATTAAATACAAAGCTACCTTTCAATTCTTATGGTCACTTTATAACATAGGATATATAAATGGAATACGAGAAGAATATTCGACAGATTAAATTCAGAATTCGAGGCACGCGTGGAGTGTGAGGTTTACGAATTATTTTTTTTTTCTTTCTCAGACATATAAAATAAGCTGTGCCGAGGCAGAATGATTTCCAGCATTTCCGTAAGTCGTAAACAATATTATTTATTTAATGTATTATTTAAATTATTACATTATAATTAACTATTCAGATAACCCTAATATTATTACTAATCGTATAAAAATTAAAACCACGCTTCACTTTGAGTATTCAGGGTGTCTACAATTTTCGATCAACAAAACGGTTATTTTTATATTTCCCGACTTTATCCTAATTTTTCCCGGTTTTTTTCTCATCAAATTTAAATTTCTTTGATTTCGAACATAAATAAATTTACAAATGGCTTCAACAATTTTTATTAGAGATGAAATTTATTTATTTTTATTTTTCAAGAGATTTATTTGTGAGATTGATTCGGAAAAATTGTTAACATCTTCCACCTTTAATATTGATTTCCGAATGATAAATTCATTTCCTTCAATTTTTATTAGAGTTTTTATAAATAATTAAATTCTTCTGACGAGTTTCTTTAAATTTTTTGAAAATAATGTTTTTTTAATAATTTTAATTAAAAATTTGGAAAATAATTGAATTAAACAAAGAATTTTTTCAATTTTTTAAAATAATCTTATTTTTTCATACACTGGAAAAAAGTTTTTTTGATTCAAGTAACCGATTAAGGGCATTTGAACCATGATGACGTCACAGCCTTAAAACACATGCTTTGCAGAACCTATGACGTCATAATGGTTCAAATGCCCTTAATTGATTATTATCAATTAAATATTTACTTGAATCAAATAATAATTATTGGAGTCAATTAAATGGTATTTGAATCAATAATTTCAGTATTTGAAGCAAATACCATTTAATTGATTCCAATAAATATTATTTGATACCATTAAATATTTAATTGATAATAGTCAAGTAATCGTTTATTTGAATCAAATACATTTTTTTTCAGTGTAATTATAATTGAAAATTTGATTAATTCAATTTTATTAAAATGTATTGATACTAATTGAATTTCTGCAAAGAATTTTATTTTACTATTTATAAAAGTAAATAAATCCTTCCCAAGAATGTTATTATTCATGAAAATAATTAAATGTTTGCGTAGAATTTTATTAAAATTTTTGAAAATAATTGAATTGTTTTTTAGAATTTTATGGAATTTTATGAAAATAATTAAATTCTTGTAATTTTTTTTTTAAATAATATTCAAAAGAATGTAGTTAATCTGAAGAATTTTGCTATTTATGGAAATAATTGAATTCTTGAGAAGAATTTTTTTTTCAGTTTTTAGAAATAATTTAATTATTTCGACGAATTTTAATAAAATTTTTAAGAATAATTACATTTTTCGAGGAATTCAATTAAAATTATATTAAAAATAATTGAAATTCGGCAATGAGTTCTACTATTTATGAAAATAATTAAATATATTGCGAAGAAATTTTTAAAAATAAAATTATATTTAAATTCTTTAAAAGAATTTAATTATTTTTAACAGAAGTTAAGAAATTTCAATTATTTCAAAAATTTTCAATTATTTGTTTATAAAAATTCAATTATCTTGAAACAATACAATTAAAAAATTTCAAAAATCTTATTTTTCAGAATTTTTAAAAAAACTTTGCAAAAATTCAATTTTATTAAAAAAAAATTAAGTGTGTATCTTTTTTTAAAATTAACTAATAAAAATTTTAATTATTAATCTTCGCACTAAGAAGCATGAATACATTAAAATGCGACTCTTTATAAAATTCAATCAGTTATCAATTATTAAATTAAAATACTTTGAAAATTCGATTTGTTAAAAACTTTTTAATAAAATTCTTTAACAAATTTAATTATTTTCAGTTGAATTTCATAAAATTTCTATAAAATTTCTATTAATTCGATAATTTTTTTTTAAATTTATTTACATACTATATATTTGAATCAGTGACTGATTTTTTACTATCAAATTAATTATTTTTAACTTATTCAAATTTAGAAAACAGTATAAATATCTATAAAAATTGAAATAAAAAGCGAATTTTTAAAAACAAATTAAAATAATAAAATTTGTTTTAATTTGGCGAAAAAAATTCCCGGTTTGGCATATCAAATTCCTGGATTATTCCCGATTTTTCCCGGTCAAATTAAATTCTCGGCTATTTCCCGGATTTCCCGGTTAGTAGACACCCTGGTATTTAAATACAATATTTTTTGCTTCATCAATTAGTAAAAAATAACTAATTATTAAATAATGAAATTATTATTAATCTGTAGTATTAACTTTAGTAAATCTGTAGTACATTATTTAATACAATATTAACATTAACATTAATTAATTATCAATATAATATTAAATAAATAACCAGTATTTATTCATATAATTAATATTTAATATTAGGATCAACAATCAGTTTCAAAATTTTTATAAAATTTTATTTATTATTATATTTCAGTTTCTTGTTCTGCTTGTGCTTGTAACAATTTTGAACCAAACGGAAGGAGGAGGAGGAGGTGACGGTGGACAGTAAGTTTTTTCCATCATTAAAAATTTTATGTAAAATAAATAATATTATTCTCAATGACTTTGAAATAACCCTGTTTTTATTCTCATTAAAATTTTCCATTCATTAAGCATTCAAAACTAATTCGTACACAAAGAAAATATTTTAAATAAATAGAACGTTTGCTGTAAAAATTTATTTTAACAAAAAAATTCTTTTTAAATTAGAAATTAATCAAAAAAATTCTTTTAAATTAAAATTTAATCCGAAAAATTATTTTAAATTAAAATTTAATCAAAAAAATTCTTTTTAAATTAAAATTTAATCAAAACTTCTTTCTAAATTAAACTTCGAAAAAAATTATAATTAAAAACAATTTAAATAGAATTAAAATTGACTTAAATTAAATTTTTTTGCTCATGTATATTAAATAAATAAATAAAAGGAATTAAACTTAAATTTAAATGAAGGAAACCACAATTAATTACAATTTTAAAAACAATAAAAATTAAATTGAAATCTCATTAAATTTTAAATACATAAAAAGAAATTAAAATTTGTAAAACTTGAATTTAAATTTTAAAAAGTTAAAATTAAATATAAACAAAATGAAAAATTAAGTTTTTACATTTCGTGTTTATGTATAGTAAAGAGAATGGCAAAAATATGCTAATAATTTGATAAGGATTCACATATAATTAATAATTAATATAAAAGAAACAAGATGCAAAAAGGTTATCGAAATGAGAGCAGTTGTTATGATCGAAAACCACTTTCGTTATGACACATCATATTAAAAATTACATGCTTTCTATGGATATGTCCAATAAAAGCAATTGCTAAATTAGAGCTGCTCATTAAACGCAGTCACAAATCTTTCACTTAAAATAAAAAAAGAAAAAAAAATTCCAATTTCTTGTCAAATCGAAAGTGATTTAATTTCCAATTGTCTAAAGATGTGGTTATAACTTTCTCCGCATAGGACTAAATAAACAGACGCATTATAAACATTAAAAAATTATTTTTTGGTTCAAATAAAAAAAGCAATTATTTCTCTCGTCCCTTATTTCAAAAACTATATTAAAAATATTCAAGACAAAAATTTTTATCATTTTTTAATTATATTTGTTTCTAAAAAGTTGTCTAATAAATATAATTAACCATAAAAAAGATTTATTTTACTAAGAGCCAAGTAGACTGTTTATTTGCTTCAAATAATTTTTTTTTAGTTTAAATAAAATTTTATTTGGTTTAAATAAATTTATTTAGTTTAAATAAAATGTTACTTGGTTCAAATAAATTTATTTAGTTTAAATAAAATTTTATTCCTTTCAAATAAATTTTATTTAGTTTAAATAAAATATTATTTAGTTCAAATAACAGTTTATTTATTTTAAATAAAATATTATTTAGTTGAAATAAAATTTTATTTAAACTAAATAAAATTTTATTTGGTTCAAATAAGTTTATTTAGTTCAAATAAAAATTTATTTCGTTCAAATAAATTTTATTTAATTCAAATAAAAATTTTATTTGGTTCAAATAAGTTTTCCAAAAGCGAAATATAAAAAAAAAGATAATGCAAACTAAAAAATTGTTTTTTCACTATTATTTCCAGTCACCACATAATAATTCACGTGCCATATCATGTAAAAAAAATCAAGCACACCCACACAATTACGAAGCATGTACATCACGGTGGTGGAGATAAATATGAAGTCCTAGGATACACGGTAGGTCAGCCAATAAAAATTGGAGGTTTCGGTGGTCACGAAAGTCACGAAGGACATGGTGAATTTAATCTTCACAATGGTTACGGTGGCGGTGGACAAGAGAATCAAGAAATTCATTACGGAAGTCATGGAGGTCATAATTTTGAACAAGTTGGCAATGAACTCAGTCAGGATGGTTTTCATTTAGGAGGACACGAAGAATTTTCATATGGAGGTGGAGGAGGTGGTAGTAGTGGTGGTGAAATTCATGAAGAACATCAATCCGGATATTGAAAATTTAACGAAAAGTAAAATTTTGTACCAAATAATTTTTACTTGAGTCAATTAAATTGTATTTGCTTCAATTACTAAAATTATTGGTTCAAATATGATTTTTTTGAATCAAATGCATTTTTTTCAGTCTATTACTTGATAGTTTCGAGCTTATATTAAAATCATAAGAAATAAATTACTATTATTATTATTATTATTATTAATTATTAAATTTAGAATTTTAATAAGTCGAAACTATTCATTAATATAATTAATAAATTGTTAATTAAGTTGAATAACAATTAATTATTAATTAATTAATTAATAAACATTTTAATTAAAAGTTTCGGATATTAAAACCATAAGAAATAAGTTCAATTAAATTCATTAATAAGTCAAAACAATTAAAATAATTAATTAATTAACATTAATTATATTGGTTGAGTTATGACTTATAAAAATCATAAGAAATAAATTAGTTGAGTTCAATTAAATTAAAATCATTAATAAGTCGAACAAATTAATAAAAAAATTATAAGTAATTAATATTATTTTAATTTATCGTAATACACTGTAAAAAAATTTTTTGATTCAAATAATCGATTAGTTGTCTATTATCAAATAAATATTTACTCAAATCAAATAATTTTTATTTGATTGAATTAAATGGTATTTGCTTCAATTACTAAAACTATTGGTTCAATTGAATTGATTAAAATTAAAATTATTTGATTCAAATAAATATTTATTTGATAATAGTCAAGTAATCAGTTATTTGAATCAATTAAATTTTTTTTCAGTGTATTAATTACCTACTTAATTAATTAATTAATCAATTATATTAAATAATAGTTCTGACTTATTAAAATCAGAAAAAAATCACTACAATTCAGTAAAGAATATTTTAATAACGAGATTTTAAATTTCCTATTAGAATTAATTTCCAGAATATTATTATTTTATGTTAATTTTAAGAAAACTTTTAATTTAATTTCAGAAAATTTTTGCGACTTTTTTCTAATTACAAATTTTCAATTAATTTTTAAGAAAAAAAAAATGTGTAAACGTCGAATCATGTCCTTGAAATAGAAATCGAAATCATAGAAACTAATGTATTGTGATATATAATTTTCGATATAGAAATTGTTATTTAGTTTTATAAGTTTGTTATATAACCCATTTTTATACCTATTTTGTAATTTGTAAATGTAAATAAATTATTTTTCGTTTTTGAAAATAAAAAATCATTGTTGATTTACAATTTTTTTGTTTTATTTATCACATTATTATTTTCCACACAATTATTATTTCGTTTACAATATATAAAAATAATTATTATTAAATTATTTTATTAGCATAAAAACAATGTCGTTCTTGTAATTACATTTTATAAAATACAATAAAAAGTAATAAAATAATAAAAAAAAAATTCTGAACGAAATGAAAATGTTACAAATAACAAATAAAATAAATAATCCAAATACAATATTATTATTAATTACAAAATTTAATTATAAATTATGAGCAATATTAATTTGTAACAATTAATTTGCAACGTGAATTACGAATATAATTAAATATTAAAAAAAAGTATTCCGAGTTTATAAATTCAGTTCAAAAAACATTTATATAAATATATTTCCTTTGGTAAAATTATTTACAGATTAATTATAAAAAAAAATTTCATCTATAAAAAAATTATTTTAAAAAATAATTTTTACATAAGGTGTATAAAATTGAAACTTTTTGGAAATATTTAAATATTTAAAAATATTTCAACAGTACAATTAATAGGGTCTATCTGACAATAAGATGCGGTGAAAAAATTCGCCTCTGTCCATTTTTATTCGTAGACCGATCTCTATGAGTGATTTCCTTATCATAATTTCCTTGATAAATGTCCGATGACTGCTTCTCATTTTCACTTTGTTCATCTTTTTCCTCAAATTCGCCAGCTTCCTCAAATTTGTCATCATAAAAATCCTTTAAATTTTTCGTCAACAAATGTCCCGTTTCCGATTCAATGCCCCTTTTATATCCATTCTCATAGACATCAAATTGCTCAATCTCATTGTTGGGAATGTCATTAATCTCCTCATGAATCGCATATTGTGGAGGAAACATATAACCAGTCACATCCTGTCCCGCGTCATATTGCGAATAGCCATTATTTGGATAATTACTCGGATTATTATCATTCGGATAAAAATTGTAATTCGGATTAAAATTATAATTCGGATTGGAATTATAATTCGAATTCGGATTTGAATTATAATTAGAATTCGGATTAGAATTATAATTAGAATTTGGATTAGAATTCGGATTAGAATTCGAATCTGGATTAGAAGGGAAATTTTGATTATAGTGAAAATTAGGATTTGAATTTAAATTTTGATGAGTATTCAAATTTGGATTTGAGTTGGAATTTAAATTTGGATTTGAATTGGAATTATAATTAGAATTGTAATTCTCCTTTTGCTGGGACAATTCATTATAATAATCTTCGGGATTTATATTCTCATAGGAAGTGGGAAAATATGAATCGTAATTATCCTTCTGATAATTATTGCCCTTTATGCACTTTTCCTTCTCCTGGCCCGATTTGAAGATATCACCGTTTTCATCAATTTCTTGATGATCACCTTCATTATTGTAACTAGTGTAGGAATTCCAATTTTCATAATTACTTTCCTCATAATGTGGGGGATTTTTTTTCGGTGGCTGCTTTTTTGGTGGCTCCTTTTTTGGAGGCTCCTTTGGATGATCCTTTGGCAGTGGATGAATATGAAGATATATTGTTTTCGTGTGAATGTGATGATTTATTAATTCCGGAACGTGAATTTTGAAATGAACGCTGAAAATAAAGAGAAAAGAATTTCAAAAAAGAAATAAATTTACAGAAAAATTAAAACCCAAAAAAAATTAAACTAAACTAAACTGAAAATTAAAATTAAAAACCACTATTCTATAAATTAATATTTACCATTATTTATATTAATTATAATATTATTGATTTTCAAATATTATAATTAGTAAATAATCTATAAATTATTTACTGTAAATAAATAATCTATAAATTATTTACTGTAAATAAATAATCTGTAAGTTATTCACTATAAATAAATAAACTGTAAATTATTCACTATAAATAATTATATATTTCATAAATTAGAAAATAAAAATTATAGTAAATAAATAAAAAAAATTATTAAATTCAAAAAAAATATTTGAATATTCAAATTAAAAAATTTATTTACTGCGTTTTTCCTTCGGCACTTTTCAGCATCATTTGTATCGAAACCAGAATTATTATAGGTGATATCCTCTGCAACTAATTAAAAATCCATCACTTTTCTCGTACATTAATTATTATAATAATAATCAAACAATAATTTAATAGTTTTCTTATTTATTACAAAAAACATTAATTTTTTAATTAAATCTAGAAACTTTAATTCTCTCAATAAAATATAAAAAGAAATAAATTTTTTCAAATTTTTGCTAATTATCCATTAAATTTTCCACTTTCTTTTCTCTCTAATTTTCAAACTTCTTTTTATTCACAAACGTTGCCGTTAATAAAATAATTTATAAACAATAATAATAATAATAATAATAATAATAATAGAAATTATAAATAATAATTGGTAAAATTGAATAATAATAATAATGAATAATAAATAATAATAATTGGTCCAACCAAATAATAATAAATATAAATAATATAACTTATAAAAATTTACTATCAATAATTAAATTAACCAATTAACAAAATTAATTCAAAACAAATTAAATAATTTTTTAAAATTTATTTAGTTTCAATTTTAATTTTATTTCGTTTTTTATTTTATTTTGTTTTTAATTTTATTTTTAATAATTAACAAAATGAATTCAAAACAAATTAAATAATATTTTTGTAATTTTCACTACACTGCTATAAAATAATTATCAGGGAGCAAAATTAATCAAAATTCACACGATCGCACCATTTTAGTTTATATTGTGAAAAATCCGATTGAAATATAATATTTCAGAGTTCAAAGAACAACGTTTCAAGAGCGATTGAACTGATCGAATGGTCTCTTGGTTTATAAGCTCTCTTTTTTTTCCCCTTGACAGATCGATTCATAGATGTCAATTTCATGTCAACTAGCCGTGAAAGAATCTTAGATTGTTTACGGATGATGAGCACTTTCGCTATTTTGTTTCAATATAAAAGACACGATTTGCTTCATCACTTGCGATTTATTGGAAATTTGAAAACTAGTGAAAAAAAAAGAAAGAGAGGGAGTAAAGAAAATATATCTCAAGTTCATTGTCACCTGTAACTGTAACAAACTATTGTTTTCAATTATTTTCACTTTCAATTAGTCGCTGAACGTGTAGGAAAAAAAATCTTTAAATAGAAAAAAAAATTATTTTCCGGATTCATGAAAAAACATTTTTTTTTAATTTGTAAATTATTTTTAATTCCTTTCCAAATATAAATTGAAAATAGATAAAAATAAAATTTTTTTGTAGTTAAAATAAAAATAAATTAATTTTTTGTAATTAAAATTGAAATTAATTAATTTTTTGGAATTAAAATTACAATAAAAAAATGGTTTGTAATTAAAATTAAAATAAATTAACTTTTAGTAATTAAAATTAAAATAAATTAATTTTTCCTAAAACTAAAATAAATTAATTTACTTTTTTGCAATGAAAATCGAAATTAATTAAATTATTCAACATAATATTTTATTCGTATTTCAGATTATATTGAGGAAATTATAAAATTCGAAAAGTATTATTCTTAATAGATAGCCAATAAATTTTACTATAAATATATACCATCTTGACAAATTTATGGTAAATAAAATAGTAAATAAAAATTTATTCCTAAATAAAATGACAAATCTCTACCAAGTGAAATTAAATTTATAACCTCTATAAAATTTAAATGGATAGTAGCAAAAATTCGTAAAAATAAAATATTCTCATTATAATGTAACATCTCTATTTTCATAGACAATTTTTCAATACTTATCTTCATTATTACATTTTATGCAATATTTCCAATATTAACTGTCCCATAAAAAAAACAAAATCCTCTATTTGTTTTCTTCTTTCATATAATACATAATATAACAAACAAAATTTTTCTACACCACAGAGAAAGTATTCACTTTCTCAAATTATTCTGCATGTCCAATTTTTTGTTTCCCAGGGGCTTGGAAATTTTAATTTTCTTTTTCTTGGAGAAAAATTTTCTCACCACGTCACACAATCCAAAAAAAATTTTTTTTCTCACTAACAAATGATTTTTTAGTATCTTTTGTATATTTGTTTTTCATACTCCATCGTTGTTTTTTTTTGTCTTCTCACGAAAATTTGTCATTTCAATAATATAACAAAAGATTATTTAAATCACGTTATAGTAAATTAACAAATTAAAAAAATAATATACCTCATTCTAGTTCTTAGCGGAAGAAAAGGGAAAATAATTTTTAAAAAAATTTACGTATCTTTTTTCGTATTTGAAAATTTGAAATTAAAACACATTTCTTCACAGATATTAAATTTTCTAATTTATTAATTATTACACATAATTTTAATTAACAAAAATATAAATTATAAAATAGTTAATTACTTATTACAATAATTGTCAAGAATAATAATAATTAAAATCACCTTTTTACATAATAATAACAATAATATTAATAATACCTAATTATTATTATTATTTGCAAGTTCCATTTATATTGAAATAAATGAATGGATTATTATTATTATTATTATTTTATTATTATTTTTTTTTGCATTTTGCAAGAGTAGTTAACATAACTTACTAATGTAACCTAATTATTATTTATTATTATAAATTATTATAATTATTTATTATTATTATTTTGAAAAAAGATTAAATAAACATTTTGTTATTCAATGTAAAATTGGTTTTAATGTTTATTATTAAGTAATAAAAAAATATTTGCCTTTGATAAAATATTTAATTTTTATTTCTGTAATTAACAATTTTGTTTATTTATTCAACAAAATTTACATTGTTTTCAAAAACTTGTATTTAAATAAATTTGATTATAACAAAAAAATTCTGTTGGTCTAATAAAAACGTCTCGTATAAAAATATTCACAAAAAAACTTTTCTAATGAGCAATGGAAAATAGTTTTAAATAATAAATAAAAATTTTAGTAATAATTATGATATCAATAATAATAATAAAAAAAAATAAAAATAATAATAATAAACAATAAATAATAGGTAAATAATAAATAATAATTGCTAGAAATTACCCAAAAAATAAGAATTCATACAAAAGGAGAAAAACTGATTTATTTAATTCATATAAACAATGAGTTTTTGAAATATATTTTTCTAATAGGAGTCTAAATTTATTTATTTTTACGAATATCTAAATTTTATATACATTATTAGATAGTAAATAATTTTTCTATACATAATATAAATATTAACACAGCAGTGATACACAAATCTAAAATAATAAATGAGAGAGATTTGTACGAAGGTGCTCACACTATCTTTGGATTCGTTTTAATAAACGAATTGTGAGAAATTAATTCTTTCACTAATTTTCCAACTTTTTCATTATTTTATAAAAATTTCTATCAATAATTATCTCCTATATAGCTGTGACTGTGACTTTTTTTTTCCTCCTTATGTGGAACAATTTTGAAAATTGTATGCGTATGCTTCACATTTTTTACACGATAGGGTACATGTATTATCACCTTCTTCCTGAAAAAAAGTAATTACTATTTAATTATTTATTATCAATATCAATTAAAGGTAAATTTATTTTAATTATAAATTATTCTATTTTAATTTATAAGTTATTATTTTAATTAATTATAAAATATAAATTATTATTTTAATTAATTATAAATTAAATTATTTTAATTTAATTATAAACTATAAATTATTATTATTTTAATTACAGATCGTAAATTTAATTTTCAAATTATTTACTTAATTTAAAAATTAATGAATTAAATGAATTCACATTAAATTCAAATAAATAAAATTATGTTTCAAATCTTTTTCATTATCACAAAATTATTATTGGAAATAAACTTTTTTTGAACAAAATAATTTTAATTTACGAATTAATTTCAATGTTCGAAACATTTTTCTTTTATTGCATTAAAAAATTTTTTTTTGAGCTCATAACATATTTCAAAAAAAAATTCCTAAATACTTTTTGTTGCAAATATATTTTTTGCAAAAATTATTAACTAATTAATAAACTAATATCTCAAGTAAATAATAAAATTACATACGCTTGAACTTCTTCTTGCAAGATAATTGCCAACACCAACAATGCCAAACAAAACTGCAACTACAAAAAAAAGTAATATTTAAAATTCATCCTTAAAAATCATTATTTATATCTAATTTCACTTAATAAAAAATTCTTTTTACAATTAAACAAATTTTTTCAGAATAAAAATAAAAATTTACTGTAATTTATTTTTTAATTACCGACTATTTTCATATTTTTGCCACACACTTTTTTTTTCTTAAATTTACCAATAATTATAAAAGAATTATAAAAATAAAGAAAATTTTTTGAAGATTTTTTTTATACACTTTTTTCTTGGATTAAATTTCAGCGCACACTTGTGTAGTTGATTTCCATAAGCACCTTACCAAGATCTTGCCGCTCATTGCGAATTTGTAAATATTTTTTTTTTTTTTTTTGTACTTTTATAAAATTGATGAGAGTTATTTTGCAGATTCCTGACAATTAAAAGATGTACACTGAACCAAGAAACATCAATTTCTAGCTTTATATACTTTAAAGAGTAACTAGCCAGGCATGTCCAGTAACAATGAAACTCCGCCCAACTTCACTTCTTTTCTGAGACTAAAATCAATTTGCAATTAAAAGCGCAAACCCGACTCGCTGCTCTAAATAACAATAAAGCAGAAAATTTCTTTCCGGTTAAAAAAAAACAATCTATATCGTAGGAGGAGGAAAACTCTTATTTTCTATAAAATTTCAGATTCATCAAATTTATTATAGAAAATGAAGAATTAAAAATAATGGGACTTAGGGCAAAAATCACCGGGGGCACAATTTTCAATAATTTTCATTATTGAAAAGGTGTATTTTAGTTTATAATTTATAAATAATAAATAAATCATTCGATTAAATTGGATAAATTATAATTTTCATTGGCTAATAATTATAATTATAAGATTTTACCAAAAAATAATAAATAACAATTTTTTATTAAAAAATAGAAATATTAATTAAAAATTGTATTAAAAAATAAAAAACCATAATTAAATTATTCCTTCTTCTGCATAATTACCATAAAAAATAAATTATATCCAATTTGATCAATAATCAATAATCTTTAATAATTTTTATATTTAATTTTTAATCCTATTTTTATTTTTTATTTCTATCTTATTAAAATTCGTTTCAATTTTCATTTCGTTTCAAATTTGACATTTTTTTTTCTTCATTTAATTTCAGAATTGAATTTCTTTTCTTTTCAGATTTGAAAATTTTTTCTTCGTTTATAATTTATTTAGATTTGCAATTTTGTTCTACATTTAATTTAAAATTCATTTGAATAAAAGATTTATGATTTGAAATTGAAAAAAAATGAATGATTGAATTGAAAAGATATTTATTACAAGCGCATCAATAATGAAATTCACAAATTATTTATCTCCCAAGAAGTTATTAAATTGAAGGTATGAAGTAGTCAGATGTATATATTTATAAATGCAATTAAAGAGAGAAATCACAGAGAAATGGAAAGCAGAATAAGAAATATTGCGCTTCTTCGAGTGAAAAACCAGTGGAGCGTGTTTGACTTTTAAAATCCTCACAAGTTCAAGTTTATTAGATTATTTTTTTTTAAATTTAAAATTTTCTTTCTATCAAAATAATTTTGATAGAATTAGTGTTCCATATTTATTTTAATTAAAACCACCAACTTTCTTAATAATAATCAATAAATTTTTCTCAACGTATTGAAAATTAAAAAAAAATTGTCAGTGTAAAAAAAAATTCAGTTCAATTTAATTTTTCATTTGAATCAAAAGTTGCAGTATTTGAAACAAATACCACATTAATTGATTCAAATTGTAATTATTTTTGAAGTATATAAATATTTATTTGTAGTAAACTATTTACTATCGTAAACTATTTGCTAGTAAAATATTTACAACCGTGAACTATTTACTATCAAATAGCAAATTTATTTAAATCAATTTTTTCCTTTAATTGTTAATTGTATAAAAAAATATTTATGGAGAAAAAAAATATCACAAAGTTATGTGACATGACAAAAATAATATGCAAATGATAAAATCAAGTGAAAATAATTCACGTAGAAAATTTGTATTAAAATTTGATTCAATGAAAATGCTTCGTTGATTCAAATCTAGGGAAAAATTAAACATAGTGACACGACAGAGAAATAGTATAAAAAATAAGAATATCATAAAAAAATGTTTTTCATTCATTCCTTCATACCGCAGAAAAAAGATTTAATTATCTATTTTTCTGCTTGAATATTTATAACAATTCGCTTCGTTCCTAATTTTTAATCGTTAATACACACATTCAAGCACTCCACGGTTCTCTCACATACTGCCCCGGTGCAAAAACCTACTCTAGGGATAAGGCGAAATCACCTGCAGAATTTTAGCATGTGAAAGCGCCTATGTGGGCCTTTAGGCCCCTTATACGTCCCGGGACGCAGCCGACACCGGAGCTCAAATCCCTGAAAGCACATTCACTCCAAATTTTCAATGATTAGTAAATCTAAATTTAATGAATTAATGAATTTAATAATTTAACAAATTTAATGAATTTAATAATTTAATTAATTTTATAATTTAATAATTTAATAATTTAATGAATTTAATAATTTAACAAATTTAATAATTTAATGAATTTAACAAATTCAGGGTGTCTAACAAGAATTGAGAAAATAATTCCCTGACTTTTCCATGACCTTTCACTAACTATTTACTAATTTTATTCTTGCTTTCTGTGGACTAAAATATGGTAACTGACATATTCTCATACATTCCCTGACTTTCCTGACCGTTAGATATCCTGTTAATAGTCTCCACCCTTTGGTAAAAAATTTATAAAATAATCAAAAATTCAAAAATCCGAATTTCTTATAAATCAACATTTTTCCCTCTCTTTTATAGGATTTAGCTTCATTATTTTTGTGCTCTTGGAAAATACTTTACTTATTTAATAATCTCGACGCTTTGGTGAAAAATCTAAAATTATCTAAAATTATCAAAAATTCAAAAATCCGAATTTCTTATAAATCAACATTTTTTCCTCTCTTTTATGGGATTTAGCTTTATTATTTTTGTGCTCTTGGAAAATACTTTACTTATTTAATAGTCTCGACGCTTTGGTAAAAAATCTAAAATTATCGAAAATTATCAAAAATTCAAAAATCCGAATTTCTTATAATTCAACATTTTTTCCTCTCTTTTATGGGATTAAGCTTCATTAGTTATGTGCTTTTGGAAAATACTTTACTTATTAAATTGTCTCGACTCTTTGGTAAAAAATCTAAAATTATCGAAAATTATCAAAAATTCAAAAATCCGAATTTCTTATAATTCAACATTTTTTCCTCTCTTTTATGGGATTAAGCTTCATTATTTTTGTGCTTTCGAAAAATACTTTACTTATTAAATTGTCTCGACTCTTTGGTAAAAAATCTAAAATTATCGAAAATTATCAAAAATTCAAAAATCCGAATTTCTTATAAATCAACATTTTTTCCTCTCTATTATGGCATTTAGCTTCATTATTTTTGTGCTCTTGGAAAATACTTTACTTATTTAATAGTCTCGGCGCTTTGGTAAAAAATCTAAAATTATCGAAAATTATCAAAAATTCAAAAATCCGAATTTCTTCTAAATCAACATTTTTTCCTCTCTATTATGGCATTTAGCTTCATTATTTTTGTGCTTTTGGAAAATACTTTACTTATTAAATTGTCTCGACTCTTTGGTAAAAAATCTAAAATTATCGAAAATTATCAAAAATTCAAAAATCCGAATTTCTTATAATTTAACATTTTTTCCTCTCTTTTATGGGATTTAGCTTCATTATTTTTCTGCTCTTGGAAAATACTTTACTTATTTATTAATCTCGACGCTTTGGTAAAAAATCTAAAATTATCGAAAATTATCAAAAATTCAAAAATCCGAATTTCTTATAATTCAACATTTTTTCCTCTCTTTTATGTGATTAAGCTTCATTATTTTTGTGCTTTTGGAAAATACTTTACTTATTAAATTGTCTCGACTCTTTGGTAAAAATCTAAAATTATCGAAAATTATCAAAAATTCAAAAATCCGAATTTCTTATAAATCAACATTTTTTCCTCTCTATTATGGCATTTAGCTTCATTATTTTTGTGCTCTTGGAAAATACTTTACTTATTTAATAGTCTCGACGCTTTGGTAAAAAATCTAAAATTATCGAAAATTATCAAAAATTCAAAAATCCGAATTTCTTATAAATCAACATTTTTTCCTCTCTATTATGGCATTTAGCTTCATTATTTTTGTGCTTTTGGAAAATACTTTACTTATTAAATTGTCTCGACTCTTTGGTAAAAAATCTAAAATTATCTAAAATTATCAAAAATTCAAAAATCCGAATTTCTTATAAATCAACATTTTTTCCTCTCTATTATGGCATTTAGCTTCATTATTTTTGTGCTCTTGGAAAATACTTTACTTATTTAATAGTCTCGGCGCTTTGGTAAAAAATCTAAAATTATCGAAAATTATCAAAAATTCAAAAATCCGAATTTCTTCTAAATCAACATTTTTTCCTCTCTATTATGGCATTTAGCTTCATTATTTTTGTGCTTTTGGAAAATACTTTACTTATTAAATTGTCTCGACTCTTTGGTAAAAAATCTAAAATTATCGAAAATTATCAAAAATTCAAAAATCCGAATTTCTTATAATTTAACATTTTTTCCTCTCTTTTATGGGATTTAGCTTCATTATTTTTCTGCTCTTGGAAAATACTTTACTTATTTATTAATCTCGACGCTTTGGTGAAAAATCTAAAATTATCTAAAATTATCAAAAATTCAAAAATCCGAATTTCTTATAAATCAACATTTTTTCCTCTCTATTATGGCATTTAGCTTCATTATTTTTGTGCTCTTGGAAAATACTTTACTTATTTAATAATCTCGACGCTTTGGTGAAAAATCTAAAATTATCTAAAATTATCAAAAATTCAAAAATCCGAATTTCTTATAAATCAACATTTTTTCCTCTCTATTATGGCATTTAGCTTCATTATTTTTGTGCTCTTGGAAAATACTTTACTTATTTAATAATCTCGACGCTTTGGTAAAAAATCTAAAATTATCTAAAATTATCAAAAATTCAAAAATCCGAATTTCTTATAAATCAACATTTTTTCCTCTCTATTATGGCATTTAGCTTCATTATTTTTGTGCTCTTGGAAAATACTTTACTTATTTAATAGTCTCGACGCTTTGGTGAAAAATCTAAAATTATCGAAAATTATCAAAAATTCAAAAATCCGAATTTCTTATAAATCAACATTTTTTCCTCTCTATTATGGCATTTAGCTTCATTATTTTTGTGCTCTTGGAAAATACTTTACTTATTTAATAGTCTCGACGCTTTGGTAAAAAATCTAAAATTATCGAAAATTATCAAAAATTCAAAAATCCGAATTTCTTATAAATCAACATTTTTTCCTCTCTATTATGGCATTTAGCTTCATTATTTTTGTGCTTTTGGAAAATACTTTACTTATTAAATTGTCTCGACTCTTTGGTAAAAAATCT